TTTTTCCGATTTAGGTTTTTCAACGATAGTTTTTTCGTCAAATTCGGAAGGGCGGTATTTGCTTCTCTTCCATGATAAGCCTCAAATGGCGTTAGTTTAGTTTTAGAGTGCTGCACAAATTGTAGGGCGCTCAGGGCACGGGAGATCATCAATTCAAATTTATAGTTCTTATTTTACTGTAGATATGTTAGGACGTAGTTTTTTATCGAGCCAATGCTCCTTTCGACCATCCCCGTAGCGCGATGATCCTTAACCGGAGAGTTTATAAACTCAATGCCCTCATTAATACAGAAGTTTTGTATGTCAATCGAAAAGAATCCGGTTGCCCGATTCATATGTAATTTCCTTGGGTGCCCATATGTATTTATGTATTTCCTTAGGAATTTTAATTTATTTTTAGATTTCTTAGTTGACCAGACTTAAGCCGACGGCCAATGTGAGAACGTATCTACCACTACTAGAACATATTTCTTTCGACCCCGTACATAATTTACAGGACCCCAGAAACCCAATTGAACAATGCCATTAGGTTCCCTGGGTACATATGTGTCCATCATATCAATTTTTGGAATGTCCGGTTTAAGGTTTTTGCCTGCTTCTAGGCAGCTTTTACAATATTTGGCTGTGGCCGCAAGGTTTCTTATGCATGAGCGGTACCCAGACATCCTTCGCCGCCGCGAACATTTGTCCCGCTAGGGATGGTTGTGATGCAATCGGTTTAACACTGCTGGCGACAGGTCCTTTGTTATGGCCAGTCGACCATCCATCCACAAACTATTTTCGCGCACAGCAAAATCGTTGAAATATTGAGCGTAATTTTGTCCCAGTCTGGTGATAATGTCCTTGGCCCGTGGGTCCTTGTCTCGTATCGCGTCGCGGGTCCTTTTCCAAGTTAGCTTCAGCTAATTTTAAATTTAGAATCTCTGGGTAATCAATTTTCTTAACTATTCGACTATCAGTAGGCACTATTGAACAAATCCACTTATCACTTTGCACAAGGAGATAAGACCATCCGGAGAATTGATGAGGGAATGAAATAACGGTGTTTAGTTTTTTCGAATTAGTTTTTTCGGAATAACTTTATCTGGAGGTATTACTTCTATATCAGAATCTGAATTTAAACTCGGCGGCAGGTTTTGAGCTCTATTTAGAACTACATTGAAATTTACATTTCCGGAATGAGTGGAAGTATTAACAATAGCAGAAAGTGTTTTTAGATCGGTTTTCTCTGGCGAATTTACGATGACATACTTTTCTTGATTTTTCTTTCAGACAACAATTGGTTTTACGTACTGAGAACAACGTCTGATTTTCTTGCTTCGTAATTTGCATATTTCCGCCGGTATGCAAATATCTCGATTTTGATTGGCTAACCGTCGGTTGCATGTAACCACGCCCTCTAGTGAGCGCGTGATCTTACGGTTAATATTTCCATATTCTACTTTCCTTTTAATTTCATTGGATACAACTTTTCTATTTGAGTACACACATGATCTTCCGCCCTCGACAGTCGGGCTTTTTCTAATTTGGTTCACTTTTTGACCCCCAGGTTTTAACTGATCCTTAGGTTTTAATGCATCATTTGTCATTTTTTTTCGCTACTGTAAAACTTTCATCGTAATGACTTGTTTCGGTCGCAGCTGCAGATGAAAACCGAGACAAATTATCTGCCAATCCCATTTTTGACCTTTGTCTATGTTCAACTGTGAAATTATCTGCCAATCCCATTTTTGACCTTTGTCTATGTTCAACTGTGAAATTATATGGTACTAAATGATCGTACCATCAAGTTAACTGACTAAAAATGTTTTATTTCCTTTTGGTGAAGAATTTAATAGTGTAAGTAACGCCTTGTGATCCGATATAACCAAAAAATAACGTCTATAGGTATAGTTTCGAAAGTGTTCCGTAGCCCACACTACCGCGAGTAATTCCAATTTGTTTGTAGAATACTTTTTCGCGGCCGGATTAAGATAGCATGACGCAAACAAAATTGGGTGCCAACCGGAGGCGCTGTACTGTTCTAACACGGCCCCTAGGTCATCGTGACTAGCATCGCAAAATATTCTAGTTTCACGGTGAATATCGAAATGCCTAAGCTCTACAATGTGATTCACTAGAGATTTCAATTGTTGAAACGCGTTCTCGGGATTTCGGTGTCCAGACAAAATCGTTGTTCTGACTAAGTAACGGTCGTAACGGTGCGCTCACTTCAGCGAGTTTTGCCAAAAATTTATGCAAACTGTGCATAGAACCCATTAGTGATTTTAATCGTTTTCTACATTTTGCGGCTTTCAAATCTTCTACCGCTTGAGTTTTCCGAATTAATGGCGCGATGCCATTTTTTCCAATTCGGAACCCTAACCAATCACACACCGTTTTTGCAAATTTGCATTTCCGTAGTTTCAAGGAAACGTTTGATACGTCCAACTTCTTCAAAATTTTTTCCACAAATGCAATATCTGACTCTTGTTCCCTTTGACGCAATTAAGATATCGTCTATGAAAGCATTTGCCTGGGGAAATTCCTTAAGGAAATTATCAAACACTTTTTGAAACTCCGCCGGCATTGATATGAGCCCGTAAAATCGGTTTTTAAAACGATATGTTCCCGTCAATTTTCCGCCGTCTGAAGAAAAATTGCACTGTTCGCTAGTCTTTTGTTCCAATGATACTTGTCCGTACGCTTAAGTGAAGTCCAATGTTTTAAAATATACATCCCCCGCTTTTTGTTCTGCAATTATTTGACTTATCCCGTGTACTAGTTCGTTAATGTTTGGCATTTGGTACTTATTCTTGTTTAACTGCTTGTTAAGTTCTCTTGACTCCAATGCCAATTTTATGCTTCCATCTTCTTTACTGTGATTACTATAGGAGAGACAAAGTACTTATCCGAACATTCTTGTAATTTAATGATATGACCTTCTTTTATCAACCGGTCTATTTCCTTGTCTACTTTAACCTGTAGACTGATAGGCACCCGACGCCCTTTTTGCTGTATCGGCCTTAAATTTTCAAAGAAATTGGCTCTTACTTTAGCGTTTCGGGTTTTCCCTATTCTGGTAAATACATTTGGGTACAACTTACAGAAATCTGTTTGTCATTCATCATACTCCTCCTTTTCCTGACTGCTCCCTTCCACCGTGATTCCCATCACCTTCTTTCTTTGCACCATCGCCAGGCCTAGGATACCCATCAGATCGCGCCCAAGAACTGACTGTATGTGTCCCAAGTATGTTTCTTCGGTTGTTATTGTAGTCCAAGTATTCTTCTTGAGGTGGTTGTAACTGAATTTTAGTTTTACCTAATGTTGCTTTCAGGTCCGTCATGCTGAAAATCGTCACAGGAGATCCGCTATCCACCCAAAGCCACATATTTTTTCCCGACACATCAACCTGGACTCTGGTCCCTGGGATCTTTAACTCCATGACGTTCTTTTTCTTGATCGACATCACCATGTAGTCATCGGATCCCGACGTCATGGATTCATTCTACCCGCTTCCCTGCTGATTGACCCATGCCACTTGATCTTCCGACGCATGGTCTACACTATGCATGCTTTGGTGATGCTCATTTTCGACCCTCACTAAACCTACTCGTCCTCGTCCTCTCCACTGGTTAGTGCCTCTTCTAACTCCCCTGCATGTTCGTTCAAAATGCCCCAATTTTCGGCACGCATTACAAGTTGCTCCTTTCGCAGGACAACTCGCATTATGGTCTAGCGTAAAATTCGGCGCGTCACAATTATATTACCTGCGGTTATTTCCGCCGCCTCCACTGCCTGATCCTTGGGTATATCCTCCGCGACCCCCGCGTGCTCGACCTCTGAAATATCCTTGTCCCCTTCTGATATTATTAATTGGCTCCTGTTTTTATGGTTATCGGCGGCGCAGACGAGGCCGGTTTTCCGGTGTCGGATTTAAATGCACATTCACCTCTCTCATACAAAAATGCTATCCTATATACTTTCTCTGGTAACTTAGTTGACCGTGTTAATTCACTTTGACAATCAGATTCCCGCATATTCATAACAAAAATATCACGAACATTCTCGGCCGCGTTAGCAAAATCACACCTTCCCGCGAGGACGCTTAGCTCATCGTTGAATTTCTCGAAAGTTTCATCACCCTCTGCTTTCTCCCATAGAATTGTCCCCTCTCATGTGTCACATTTTGCTCGCGTTTGAAGACATTTTGCATTTCGTCCAAAACCAGTGGGACCTTTCCGTTTTAACATTCGCCGCCGGTTTTCAGGCTTTAAATATCCTTTGCGCTTCGTCTCCAATACAGATATATAGGTTAGACTTCAACGTTTTCTCCGCTTCGGTCTGATTCTTTCCATTGATTCTCCGCAGGTTGGGGTTTCCGCCGTCCGTGCGTCCCAGAATGATAATATATTTAGCGGATTTTTCCCTCCTCCTTTTTGTTCCGCTGACTGCGCCATGTTGAAGTTGTATAATGTATAGTGATGAAAAGAATAGTTGTTTAAAGTTAATTGCAAAGCGACTGTATAGCATCAAATCTAAATCTTACTGCACCTTTCTGTTTTAGCTCGTGCCGGGCGATAGAGATCGCAATGTCACAACAACAGGTCCCCAGACAGAAAGAACAAACTCATAGAACCTACATAAACCAGAACTGGTCCCTATATCACTGGCTTTAGTTTTTGGAAATAGTTTACGCTCGCTGACCTTTCTTTGTTATTATCACGAAAAACTTTGAAATGAAAACTACTTGGTTTTTTTATTAAATTTTATGTTACAATATTTGCCTTTGTATCAACAAGGATAAGTTTAACACTGACTAGAATAGTAGCAGTTCTATAGTAACTTAAAATAATTTTAAGTTTATTTCATTAACTGGTCATCAATAATAACAAAAATCATCTGGTGACATCAAAGTTTTACCATAAATGTTCATTGAACTTTGATTTTCAATGCAAAACAAATAAGCAAACAAGAAAATATCCGTTCAACACGCCATATTTGATTCATTTCACCTGTGTTTATTGGATTTAGATATAATTTCATTTGGATAGTTATTCCTTTTGACTTACAGTTATTTTTGCGACATATTTAATTTATTCACAGTAAGTTTTGACTATGACGGGTGGTTCGGAGGAGGTTTCCTCCAAATTGGAGGACGCTCCGGTATTTGAATTCCAGGAACTACTGGACCGCTTTGAAAAAGAAAGCGCATCTGAAACTGAGGAACAAGTTAATTCAATTTATGAAGACCCAAATTTGCCTTCGATCATTCAAAAAGAGCTAAATTTTTGCCAGATTGGTAATGGCGATAACTTCCAAAAAAGAGCTTCCGTTTTTTTGCAAGCGCTTTTTATGTTGACAGCAAACAGTGATAATTTTTGCAAAAATTTGCATGAAAATGGATCTGTGAAACGCATGCTCGAGCTCTTAGGAAATCAGTTAAAAATTCAACCATCCGAAAGAACAGACGAAAATTCGATTATCAAACTGATTTTGGCTCTTTGCAAAACACTGGAAATCGCCGTAGATGCTAAGAGAACGTTCTTCGAAACGACTTTGGAAGTTCAGACCGAAGAAGTCATTTCTTCAACTGCAGAAACTTCAAAACTAAAAGTGTTCACACTTTTACTTCTCGCTATTGCTTCTGACCGAGACGAAGTCAAATCGTCATCAATTTTAAACGAATCTCTACCTGTTATTAGTCTTCTAATTGGTAATCTATCCGAAACTCTTGAAAACCGTCAAGAATTCTGGATCGAAAACGTTGCTGCCAATTTAGCTAGAAAACCAGCTTACGGAGCTGGCTGTTTTTTTAAAATGCTCATGATATTTTCTCGAACGGAACGCAACTCGAATATCTTCGCTCAGCAAACACCACTTCTGAATAACTTACCAGTTATTTTTGATTGGAACAATGACGACATTTCTTACCCGGCATTTGAGCTTCTGTGGGAAATGAGCTTTTCAAGGCCAAATTGGGAGTTTTTTTGTGGAAATGGCGAAATAATGAACCAGCTTAAGGCAGAGATGTTTCAAGTAAAAATGGCAGATTTAGGCGTTTTAATATAGAGGCGTTTTTTTTAAGTATTTAATTTTTCTCAGAAGTAAGTCTCTTCAAATACATTTTTTAAATGATAATATCAATGTTGCATAGTCAAGAATAATTTATTTTTCATGGATGATAATTACACTTCCAGAACTTGAGGGTTTAAAATCCCTTATATTCTATCTTTTCATATTTGTTTCCTCTCAAATAGGCTATAATGGATTATATTTGGATTTGAAAAATTGCAAAATTAGGCAGCAATTTTTGCAAAACTCTCATCGTCTTTAATTTCTAAAAATATGAGGTAAAATATCTTGCATAATAAAACACCATATAGTTTAAAAACTTACGAATAGAGTTATTATTCATGAAATATCTTTCAAAGAAATTATAATTCTTTGAAATATTTTGAAATTATAATTTTTAAAACTATCAAAATTAAGCAAACACAAGGTCTCAACCAAAGCAAAGCGCATTCAAAAGAATATTATTTAACACTTAAAACAACCCTGCATTTGATGAACTACAGGCCATGGACACTGACCATAGTTGTGACCCCAATGATGTCACAGTAGTAGGAAAGAATATAGTGTGGGAAATTAAATTGCAGGCGAAATTGATGAAGCAAAGAAACGAGGGCGCTATGACCGACCCGAAAAACACTTCGAGAAAAAAGAAAGGAAAGGCCGCCAAACAAATACAGAAAGGTAGGCCAATTGTAGAAGTTGTAACTGATCTCCGTTTTAAACTGATCTCCAAGAAAACAGTGGGCTCATATGGCCAAATCGTATAAAATGGAGTGAAATGAGCCTAAGTTGAACTAAGCAGCTAAGAAGAAACCCAACTTAAATTGGACTGGTTCCCAACGAATCATTTTCCACATTTTCTCGGAAGGTTATCACCAGAGTTAGTATTTTTCTATTTAAATTTGAATGAGCCCAATTTTTATTAATGAGTGCTTTAAACCTGAACGATCGTGAAGCTGCTCGATAAAGCCATCTTATCCCGTTTTCACTATCAAACCCAATATTTAGGGTAATCAAAGGTCAACGAAAATTAGGACACTAAATTACATCAGAACATTGGAAAAAAATGTGAAGAAAAAAAGCAGGTTATCACTTTTGTAACCGAAAAAGAGTTCAATGGTTTTATTTTTAAGGGTAACCGAAATACAATGGTCTTATTTTTAAGGGTATTTAAATGTTTCAGGCCGATTCTGAAAAAAAATATCATAACCCACAAAAAAGTTAAACACTATGATCCATTTTTCATGATTACTTTTGTATATTACAGATGTTGACATCAAATTTCTGATGTAATGAATACCATCCAAAAACTCTATTGTAGAAAACAGAGTGTTTAACAGCGGAAAACATACATGTACCATCGATTTTGCTAAATTTCTGTTAGATTTGAGTATACATTCACCTTCACAAATTGTTTTATATAGTCACAGTTACAGGTGTTTACAGTTAAGACCACAAAATTCTTGGTTAACCTACGTTAATCAAAAAGTTTTTGATGTTAAGTTTGAACAATACTTAGAGATAAATTTTGTGAGAGTGAATGAATACTCTACCTTAGCAGATATTTTGCAAAATCGAGGTAATATGTATGCTGGCTCAGCGTTTCCCAATTAAATACTCTATAGGGCACTAGAGTTATGTAGATGACAATCATATAAATCTCAAACTTATAGTCATAATCTATGATATAACAAAAACGATCATAACAAAGCGTTACTTTTTTCACGGAATCATTCCGACTAATAATTTTTAATGGATTATAATAATTTTTAGGCTGAACTAAACAAAAATCAAAAATTGACTGAAAGAAAAATGCCACAAGCTTGTCCTTCGAAAATTATGACATTGAACTCTTAGTTCAGTTCGTTTTTTCTTTTCTCCTGACTGTTTAAGCTTGCCCTCACTGAAGTCTCATGGATAATAATCGGTTATATTGGATTTTCATAGTCAGTCTCTATAAATTAACAAAAATACCCGATCATAATTCATTGAAAATCGATTATAATGATGCTATTTTTCAAGCAATAAAATTTCAATCTAATGGATTATGATCGATTATATTTGATTATTTTCAACTTATTTTAAAAAAGTTTAATCAAACGAAAAATAATCAATTTTAATCAATTACAATGGGTTATAATCAATTTTATAAAATCTTTTCCTGTGTTTACGTGTGTGTGTATCTCTTTGTGCGTGAGTACGTGGGAGGAGTGTGGGAGGAGGGACTGGAAAATCAAAAGCACTCCCACAACATTGAAAAGAATGTATTTCGACCGAGTTTCTAGAGCCGCAGACAAATTTCGTGAGAAAAAACTGGTCAAAAATGCCATTTTTGGGCAATTTGTGAAAAATTACTAGATGTTGGCCTTATTTAAAATTATTATGTTTTGGCCGCCCCTGGATGAACGTGTTCGTTCAACTCTTGTAAGAAATCGCAAAAAGTTGAGTAATTGGAGGCAAAATTTAATCCATTTTCATCACAAAAGAAAATCCATTAAAACTGATTTTTATCCATAAAACTTTAATGTGGGTGCAATAAAACTTTTTAGTAAAAATATTAAGAATCATTGTTTACGAATTTTAATCCCAAATTTGTGAATTGCCTTTTAATTTATCAATAATTGGCAAAACAAATTGGTTATTTTTGCTTATTAAAGTCGTTGCAGTCCTATGATAGCTGAGCTCATGCAACCACGCGTGGAAAAATAGTTTGTTATCCCCAAAATCTAATACTGCTAAAAAATATCATTTTTTTTAATGAAAGAAATTCGAAATCAAATTGAATAAAAGTTTGTCTAAGGCATTTTGCTTAATAAAGCAATCATCAAACGCCTGTCCTGTAACAATTGATGGTCCGAATTTGCTAACTCTTGATGACATTTTGACCACCTATACTATTATGTGAACTTTATCAGATTGGCCAAAACATTATGCCCCTTCCATGAAAAAGCCATCACAGTGGCATGCCAATTGCAACCTGAATCACGGATATCTGGTTTGCTTTTTCGATCCCAGCCCTCATGATCACTAGCCATTAGGTTGATCACCTGCGAAGCACTACTGATACGATTACTTCGCACGTTCTGCCTGCAATCAATAAAAATTTATCGGGCCAATCAGTGGCTACAAAAACACTAGCCGAGTGTAAGGACAGTGCGTATCGTCCGGTTTAGCGCAGGTTTGATTCCAGGATAGATCGTTTCTTTTATGGATCATTTATGAGCCAAACTTTTTGGAACATAAAAACACATGTGAATCGAGAAAGAAACCAACTCTTTTGAATTTTTAGAATAACCCGATTCTATAAAGAAAATAAAGAATCCAGAAAATTCTAAAAAGATTCATCTGAACTCGAATATTGAATTATTAATGATTTCTCGAAACTGGTTCTTAGTTCGAGATTTGTTATTTCTCATCCTTGGTAGCGCGGATAAGCAAAAGGGTCGTGTTATCCAATTCTTACACTGATAGTGAAAATCTACAATACGAGGCCAAACTGTGCACTGGTTAGGCGCACAATTTTGTGTCTCTATGTTCCTGGATTCCAGAGACATTATTTGAACATATTCTAAAGCGTAAATGGATTACAAAATTTCATTGGATTTCGCGTACAAGTATCTTTAACGTAAATTTTGTCGGCACTTTGGTTTAGTTGCCGATTCCGCAACGAGCGAACATAGGTAGTTGTTGCGGATTCCGCATATGTAAGCGGGTTCCGCAAATGTAACTGGATTCCGCAAATTTATGCGGATCCCGCTTATAGTTTGCGGTTTCCACTTACAATTGCAGATTTCGCGTCAGCTTAAGTTTAGCAAACACATATATTTTTATTTGTTCATGGATTCCACGAACTGATTCTGGATTCCACTTATTTTGTTGCGGATTTCGCAAAGTTGCCTGTTCTCGGAGCAATTGTGAGCAACATAGTATTTTAGTTTAGCTTTTTGTCCGTGGAATCCAAAACAGCAGAGAAGATTTAAAAATGGCAATGTTGCGGATTCCGCGACAAATCTGATTTTTGCCTGTTGTGAATCCCCTCACAATTCAGAAAATGCACAGTTTGGCCTCGTAATGTATCGAATCATTCCTTCTAGCGGTTTTATAGATTTTGAGTAAATTTCTGAGGAATCGACTACCGAGCAAACTTCAATCAAGTGTTTGTTATATTTGGTCGGGGTCTGCACTCTTGCGTTTTTTGTTAAAAAAACTGCGCTATCTCGCTTAGCATGCCACCATTTTCCCCCTGAACAAAGCTGTAGACTTGCCGGTCGAGTCTCAAGTGTAAGATCGGCAAAGAAGTATGGAGTAGAGTTTTTATGAGCTCTGTTAACTCTTTTTCCTCGAAAAAAAACCTACTGAAAGCTCTGTCAAACCGTTTCCCTCGGTTGATCATAGTCGAAATGTTTTTTTTTCTCGGCCGAAACAACTCCTCGATCGAACTCGATCGAAACGTTTTTCCTTGGTCAAACTTGGTTGAAATGTTTTTGCTCCGTCGGCATTGGTCAAAACATATATGTTTTAGTCGAATTTGGTCTAAACATAGATGTTTTTGGTCGCGCTCGTCAAAACATATGCGTTTTTGGTTGAAACATAAAGTCGAAACCTCGGCCCGGGTAGGCGAGTAGATGCAATTTAAGTACCTATCAAAATAATTATACAATTTTAATAATTTTCAAATTTCTAATGAAAAACAGACCCAAGGGAATCCTTGATAACCCTGTATGGTTTAATTGTGCTTAAGTTTAAATTGAGTCAAATTAAGCAACACAATGTTTTTATACTTTATGTTTAGGTATAAAAATGATTTTAGATCTAGTTTTTGGAAACCAAAAATTTGTTGGAACATGGGTATAGTCAACACGACTATATTCCTCATAAAGCTATTAAACTGATTTTTTTTTAAATTTTAAGCAATTCTGAAAAAAAAACATATATTTTTTTATTTATTACTCGTGGGTAAAAATGTAGATGTAAGTGCAAATTCAAAGCGTTTTTCCGAGCAGTTATCCGGTAGTAGGGAACTTGAAGTAACAGTAGGGTCAAAAATGTTAGTATGTGATTGGGGTTTGCCCACTTGAAGCATTTTGAGGAAATTGTATGGTTAAATTTTCCATTATAAATTAATTTTTTCCATTGTATGGTTAAATTAATTTGTCCAAATTTTGCTTTTCTCGGGAAAATTTATTTTATTCTCAAGTTAATGAGAATACTTGTTTTTCGTGTTTTTTGATGGAACGTTCCCAAAATTCTTTTTTGTATTGTTTAATCGAAATCAGTTTTTGTTTTTCTAAAGAGTTTTGCTGGCTTTAGATGATGTGTTACCGGTTTCATTGACTCTCAGTTTTCTTACTTTCAAACACTCTGTAGAAGAGTTTGTAATTTGAGGTTCCGGTCAGTCAGTATGTTGGTCTGATTAATGTTTTGCGATCTGAATGTAGGATTTTGTACGATGTGTCCTGAAATAAAAAAATATTAAGGGTTTAGATAGATGTTGCCTTTTATCACCGAGAATGTAGAAATATAATGAGGTTGAAGCGCCAATCGGGCTATATGCACTGATTGATATGAAGAGTCCTTTTTTCAAGTAACGATAGAATCTGACTTCCAATGAGCCACTTTTGGTCTAGGCTACCCAAAGGTTATGGACGAAAGAAAACTGAGTGTTTTTGTCTTTAATCCTTAACATTTCCAAGTTTATTATTGGGAACACTTAACTAATTGGCAGAAAACATTTGGAAACTTTAAAAACTGCTTTTAGACGCCTGAACATCTGGCAATTATGAATTCATGGTTTTCATTTAAAAAAACACCACTCAAGCTAATCCGTTTCAAACTATCTCAGTGCTAAAGCAGTCTCTCTGTCTGATTTTAGCACTTTTTTAAATTAGATTTAAAGCTTTAACAGTTAAGTATCGAGATTTAATTCTCATCCACACTCGCTATTCAAGAAAACAGCTGAAAAATTAACAGAATTGAACAAATATACTGAGTAAAAATTGTTGAGATCATTTCTTGCTCTGAATAAGGTGAGCGAAAAGATTGGTGCTAATTGTAGAGTAAAAAACAATAATGCCTTTTTAAATTCTACGTTATCATGTAATTCTGTTTTAGCTCGCAGAAACTGTTGCTGTGAGCTCATTAGCAAATTACTATGCTCATGTCTGTGCGAACGTCTCTGCAAATGCCTGGCGGAACATGTCTGCCCCGGTGAGTTTTGCTTAAAACATGTATAAATTTATTGCTCAGAAAAGTTTCGTTTCATACTTTACTGGTTCAGTGCTGATTGAAGTTATCAGAAAAAAAACAATTGCGAATGTCTAGTAGTTTACAAATAACTGACAAAAGAGGCTTGTTTTAAGGAGACAAATACTTAAGGAGATAAATTTTTAATTACCGAAGCAACTTTTTTAGAGGTATCAAAAAAAGTTATCTAACTATGCAAAATTGTGGATCTGGGATATTTTTTGGATCTGAGGGTTTTTTAACAGCCGGGGTATTTACGACAAAAATGAGTTTAAGTCCGGTGTGGTTTTCTCATAAAGTAATGTCGGATAAAAAACACCGTCTGTTTGTCACGCTATCCTGTTTTCGGCCGGATAGATTCATGCAAAACCTTAATCTATTACCGATCCTTTTTCCTGCTCGTTTCTTTGCTCTGAGAAATTTTTTTACGCTAGAGCAAAAATTGAGGGTCTGGATGTTGTATATGTTGAGCACATTTACTTCGAGCGACGTCGTTTGGTGGGTGAGGCTAGAGGAGAATGTCTTTGAGAAAAGTCTGTTTTTGTGTTTAACCTTTCTTTTCTTTTTTATCAGGTGTTTTCTCTTTTGTTCCTTGGTTGTGTCCTTTTCTTAAAAATGGATTGTTTTTGGTTTGTGTTATTTGTTGAGTGTTTTTACGTTTCATGTGGTCTTAATAAAAGTTTCAATCATAATTCAAAAGAATAATTTATCCAGTTTTTTCTGGACTTAATCTAAATTGGGTAGCGTGAGACGTTCATGTTCATGTGGCTAGTTTATACAAGTGACGAGTTCCTTTGATTTGCGTGAAATAAGGCGAGTTCAAAAAAAATGAAAAATTTCAAACTATAGCACACATTAAAAGGTTAGTTTTACTCTATTTATTATTCATTAATAGTTCAGTACTTCGTACAGATAATTTACAGCAATATTAAAAATTAATTGCTGCGTATCAATTCTATTGCACGATTACAAACTTACAACAAATAGTTAGTATTTGAAGCAAAATTTTTTTAAAGTTTCATTTTTTTAATTTTTATTTCATGTATTGTTTTCAGAGAAATTACTAGTGAAATCTAAAAAGCAATGGTGAAACACACGTGTAAAAATGGTGAGTGAATTAGTGATTTATATAGTGATTTTTTATAACTTCACACTCACTGATGGTTGGGTTTTAAAAAAAACCATTTGGGAAATTGTTTTGAACTGTGGGTGAGTAAGTTAAAAATTTTGCAAGCATTTTAATGAACTTTGTAAAACGTAAGAGTGGCCAAAAGAGTTCTAGTGCGCGGATGATGTTAAGTATGTGGCAGAAATTTCGTGGTTAGTGTTTTGGATTTAGATTATATAAGTTGTGATATATTCTATATATAAATAGTTTTGAATTTCGCCTATCTGGGGATCGTCCACAAAAAATGTTGGAAGATGGTGATTGTGATGTGCTTTTACTATAGCTAGGTGGTAACGGTTTTCCTGAACTGTTTTTACTTTGATCAATTTTATCTGAAAAATTTCGGTCGTGCGTCAAGTATTGGTGAAAAGATTTATTCGATTTTTTTAAATTTTTGTTTTGCCTTGGAGTCTTGGATGATGTTTTTGTGTGACGTGGTTGTCTGAATAATATTGACAAATTGTAATTTTAAATTTTGTGTTTCTTTCGGTTTTCACGTGATTCCTGCTTTTGGTTTTTTGATTAGGCGTTTATTATTAATTGGACTAGATTTTTCCGAATCCGTTTGCGAATAGTTTGGAGCATCTTATAGTTTATCTATTGATTGTAATGTTTTTGGTCGAAACGGATTATTATTTTTGTTATGTGTTGGTGTGATCGTAGGATAAAAAGACGAATTTTGTAGTTGTGTTGTTGTGGGCATTGTTTTAACAATTTCTTTGTTTACAAAATGTGATGGCGTTAGAATATCTTGTTGTGTTAGGTTCGTAATTCCATTTAAGTTGTCTTGTGCAATAATGAATGTCGAAATCAGACTTTTAATAAATGTCCTATCATCAAACTTTGTGTTGAAAATTAAAAG